CAGCCCTGAGTACCACCCCCGCCTTGACTTAAGGAGTGTGTAGAGGGGGGCGCGTTCTAGGCTGGGGGTCGTAGCTTCCCACGTGCTCAGGTCAGCTGCCTCCTGGGCTGGGAAGCAGGACCGTGCGACTTTGGTGAGGCTCTTCCACCTCCTGCAGAGGGATCTGATCAGAGACTTGGCTTTGGGTCCGACCGTGCCGCATGAGCAGCTCTCTGAGCTGTGCCCCCTCCTCCGCGACATCACACAGGGTGATGGCGGCCCTGGGTGGGGTCGCCATGCCAGTGAGACGAGCTCGCGTCTGGGAAGTGCTTTGTATCAGCTGAGCCCAATTTTATCCTGTCACCATCCTCATCACTGTGTTGGTGCCCCAAGGGAGCCTGTGGGGGTTTTGAGGGCCTGGCTGCCAAAGTCTCAGTGATGTAATTCCAATAGATCCTTCTGACCCTCCACTGTGGACTCGATAGCAGGGAGATGAAGAGGAAGGTGACTGAGAGACCCAGGCAGCCTTCCTTTATAAAGAACCCCCTGGCCCCTGTGTGCGGGGCCGTGGGTAAATGGGTGAGGTGGGAAAGGCAGGCTGCAGCCAGCCCCTCTTCCTGGGCCCTGGGCCACGCAGGAGCACAGGGTCAGCAGTGCACACACTCCCTCCTCCCACTGATTCCCAGCACCTTCTGGAACAGTGAGACTTGATCCTGTTTCACCCCCTCGGATTCTGTTTCCAGGCAACCACCTGCCACCTCTCTACCTGGATGGCCATGTGTTTGCAAGTCAGCCCCGGCTGGTTCCTCAGACGATACCTCAGCAGCAGAGTTACCAACAGGTGATGACGGCGAGCCAGGTGGCCCCGCGGGGGGGTGGGGGAGGGGTGCAGCGCACGGCGTAGTTACCTGCCTTCTTCATTTATTTGTCCGTGGTGTATCTCACTTTTTGTGCCCCTCGCGTTACCGCTCAGTACCTGGCACGTATGGCAGCCAGTCAGTATTTACTGGATGAGTACTCGAGAGACGAGGAGGAGGATGGAGCTGAGTGCTCCAGACTCTGCTTAGCTTTCCCTTCTCGAAGCGCTCCTGTGCCCTAGCTGGGGAATTCACTGAAACGGAATTCTCTTTGGTGATCAGGTATCCTTCTGATGAAGAGAAGAAAGGCCTAGACTCCCAGGCATGGATGCGTTAGAAAGAGGTAGTTGTAGAAGCGAGCAGGTGTTTGTTTTTATGCAGAATTGGCATACTTTCTGTGCCGCGAGGGGGTGCTTTTTGGAAGTCTTCCTCCTGAAGCTGGTGCTGGGCCTTCCTAATCGTCCTGCGGCCCCACCGACCCGTGTGCCCGCACAGACCAGGATGAAGTGCTGTTTTTGGGACAGAGGACTTGGCCTGTCCTGATCTCTGTTCATAACATATTCTTAAGTATTACGTTGTTTGGTTTTGCAAGACCTTGTTCTTCGCGTAACTGGATCATACTGCACGTGTTCTTCTTCACACACATTTTCCATCCACCGTTGCGTTTCTGAAACCCCCCTCTGTTGATTCGTGTAGCCAGTGTTCCCGCCACTGTACAGAATCCAGTATAGGGATGCGCCCTGGTTTGGGATTGCTGCCAGTTTTCTGCTTTCTCCCAAGAGTGAAGGAAGCACAGGCAGGACATGAGTTTGCATCGTGGGCGGTGTTGGCTGCCCGTGGAGAAGGGCGGGTGGGGGTGGGAGGCGGGGGTGAGCGTCAGCCTGGAGGGCAGCACGGTGATGGCCTGGCCCGCCGTCCACAGGCTGCCGCTGCCCAGCAGATCCCGATTTCCCTTCACACGTCTCTGCAAGCTCAAGCCCAGCTCGGGCTGAGGGGCGGGCTCCCCGTCTCCCAGTCTCAGGAGATCTTCAGCTCCTTACAGCCCTTCAGGTGAGACGCCAGGACTTGGGGGGCTGGCAGCTCGCAACAGGGCTTTCCGCCTTCCCGGCCTGTGGGCCTTTTCCCTTTGCCGGCTGCTGCTCTGCGCTGCCCCGCTTGGGGGCGGGTGTGGGCGGGGTGTGGCCCGGCCTTGCCCTTGCTCTCTGTGTCCTCCGGCCCCTCCCTGCTCTCCCGCCTCGCTGCACCTTGCGCCTCTGGCCCACTCTTTCAGTGTCTCCTGCTCTGTGCTATCTGTTTAGTCCAGTGATGCTCAAACCGTGGGCCCGAGACCAGCAGCACCGTCTAGGAGTTTGTTTAAGTGCAAGTTCTCAGGGCCCATCCCAGACCTTCTGAGTCAGAATCCCTGGGGGTGAGCCGACAGCCTGTGTTGGAGCGACGAGCCCTGCGGGGATTCTGAGGCGTGCCCACACGTGAGATCAGCTGGTGCAGTCGTGCACCTGCCCCGACCGTCTCTCTGGCTTTTGCAGATCTCAGGTGTATATGCACCCCAGCCTGTCGCCGCCCAGCACCATGATCCTCTCCGGAGGCACAGCCTTGAAGCCCCCCTACTCGGCGTTCCCAGGCATGCAGCCCTTAGAGATGGTGAAGCCCCAGTCCGGCTCGCCCTACCAGCCCATGAGTGGAAACCAAGCCCTGGTCTACGAGGGCCAGCTCGGCCCGGCCGCCGGGCTTGGCGCCTCCCAGATGTTGGACTCCCAGCTCCCGCAGGTCAGGAATTCACTCACTCCCACCTCAGAACACTAGGTCTCTTTTCTTTTTTTCTTAATTTTATTTATTTATTTATTTTTGGTTGTGTTGGGTCCTAGTTGCTGCGCGTGGTCTTTCTTTAGTTGCGATGAGCGGGAGCTACTCTTGGTTGCAGTGTGCGGGCTTCTCATTGTGGTGGCTTCTCTTGCTGCGGAGCACAGGCTCTAGGTGCGTGGGCTTCAGTAGTTGGGGCACGCGGGCTCTAGAGCACAGGCTCAGTAGCCGTGGCACACGGGCTTAGTTGCTCCGCGGCATGTGGGATCTTCCCAGACCAGGGCTCGAACCCGTGTCCCCTGCATTGGCAGGCGGATTCTTGAGCACTGCGCCACCAGGGAAGCCCTAGGTCTCTTTTCTTCATGATCGTTTCCCCTTGTATCTGCCTCGTGATGCCCACTGACTTACATGCTGCTTGTAGCCACTGCCACTAGTCCTTGGGCTGCCAGACCAGGGCCAGCTGCTCCGCCTCCTGTGAGCAGTCCCGAGACTGGGCTTTCCCTGAGAGCGAGGGCGCCACTTCTCCTGCAGCCTCTCTGCCCTCCTGCTGTGGCCGTGGGGCTGGCTGCGTGTCTCCTCTGCGTGCACACGCGTGCTTCGAGGCCACTCTCCCTGCCTGCCCCTCACACCCTGGCTTTGGAGCCCACCCCGTAGACTGTACCCCCGCTGGCCCCCGTGTGCCACGGGCACCACGCTGCTGAGTCCGTGTCCGGTCCCACATCCTCCTCCCCCCGACCCGTGGGTGCATTAGACGGTTCTGAGGGTCACTCCCCTCCTTTGGCCCGTGGCTTAGTCTCCAGCACGTCTCCCGTTGTAGTTCTCAGGGGTTTAGGTGTCTCTGTAGGTGACCCCTCACCCCCAGGTCTCTGCCCCCAGTTCCACGGCCTTACCACCAGTGCCTGCTTGCCTCCAGTCTGGACTGGTCACTGCCAGTCGCTGTACCTCTCCCCTGGTCTCGGGCCGAAGGGTCCTACCTGCTCACCACCTCTGACTTTTCTCCCTCCCTCCCTCTGGTGACCCACGTCCAGCCACCTTTTAATTCTCCCTCCCCCATCCCTGCCCCCCGCCCCCTTCAGCAGAGCCGCAGACACCTTCCTAGTCTTTTTTGGCTTTTTGACCGCGCCGTGGCACGCAGGATCTTAGTTCCCCAACCAGGGATCGAACCCGTGCCCCCTGCAGTGGAAGCGTGGAGTCCTAACCACTGGACCGCCAGGGTAGTCCTCAGCTCCTTGTCATTTGCACTCAGCTCCGCCCCGCCCTTCCCTCCCTGTGCTCACCTGGGTTAAACCCTGGCCCGCCTCTGCCCCGCTTCCTGAGGCTGGAGGGAAACCGACCCCGTCAGACTGGATTCAGGTTAAATACAGCCGCCCTCTGGAAAGCCAACGTTTGGGCACCTCCCCACCCTCCTCATTGCCTTCTCCCCCACCGTGATTTTGCATCCTGTGTCGCCAAAGAAATGAGTCGTAACGAGGAAAAGAGAACATCTGCAAGCTCCCAGCGCCACGTCTCCGAGCCTGCGAGGGGCCCTGGGGTGAGAGCGGGCAGCCCATCCTCTCCACCCGCCTGGGAGCTGCTCCAGCTAGCGTCCTCTTCCCTCCATCAGCACGTAGAGGTGCTGCCGTCCGGCTGTGAGGGTCCCTTCCGCCACATCCCCAGGCAGCCCGGCCTTTCCTCGTTTTTTAAGAAACAGAACACTTCTTTAGGGACACCGGTAGATTCCACGTTACTGAACCTGACGGTTCTTCATCCTCCTCCTACTGACCCATCAGTAGTCACTCCTTCCCCCGAACCACGCTCTCTGGGTTCCGAAGACACTGTTCCTGGCTTTCCTTCCACCTCCCTGAGGCCTCTTCCCGGTCTCCTTTGCTGTTTCCCCGTTGCCTCCCCAGGCAGTAACTCGCTGTGCCTTCTGGGTGCCATCCTCAGGCCTCTTTCTAGACCTGTGGCTCTAAGCCTGACCCAAATCCAACGCTTCCCGGTTCTCCCGAATTTCTGTCTCCTGGACCTGAACTCAGACCCAGTGGGCTGCCCGTCATCTCTGCTCAGGTCCGGCATGGGGCATCCCTGGATCCCTGCTTCTGCCACGCCCCCACTGATGCGTCACATCCCGTCAGCCCTACCTTTGAAAAGTATTCAGAGTCTGGCCCTTTCTCTTCCCCTCCACCCTACCCCTGCGCCCAGCTCCTGCTTTCAGCTGCCAGTTTGTTCTCAGCACAGCAGCCAGGGCGCCTCTTTAAGACTCACGTCGGCTCACACACCGCGCCCCGAGCCAGCGCTCCAGAAACGCTGAGCCACCCCTACCTTCTTCCCGCACCCAGCTGTGCGCAAAGAGGGGCCCGGGCCTTGAGGTCCGGCTGCCCCACGTCTCAGTGATGCCATTCCAGTAGGTCCTTCCGACCCTCCACTGTGGGCTCAGTAGCAGGGAGATGAAGAGGAAGGTGACTGAGAGACCACAGTTGGCCCGCCCGCCCCGTCCCGAGGGTCTCCTGGCCCACCTCCTTCCCTTCTCGCACCTCGTTCTGGACTTCAGGAGAACAGGCTTCAGAAGGCTCCAAGACTGCAGGAACCCTAAACCCCAGACCCCAGTTGTTTTCTGTCACCTTCGGAGGCAGAGCATGAAGTAGTCTTGCCTTTTTGTGCTGCAAAAAGGGGCACAAGGACCCCTCCTGTGTAGCTCCCGTCTTTTGGGACTCGCTTGGACACCGCTTCCTGAGAAGGCTTCTAGACCTTCCTGACCTTTCTCCCCACCCCCCGCCCCCCAACACGCACACGGGGTTTGCCGCCCGCCTTCTGCACTTGACACTCGTAGCTGTCCTGCTTATTTTCTAGCCGTCCGAGTTCTTTTCTCACCACCTAAGGCTTGCCCCCTACCACTGAGAGTATGCAGTCTAGGGTGATCTCTACTGTGTTCTATCCAGGATCTGTCCTGCTGTGGGAAGGCCTTGCTTCCTTTCATCTGCAATGAGAATGTGAAGTGTGATGCGCGGTTGCTCTTGGATGCGTGTGTAAGTGGTGGTTTGTGGCGTCCTCCCCCTGACTGTCCCTGTTGTCCAGCAGCTGACGATGCCGCTGCCTGGCTCCCAGCTGCCCCTGCCTCGGTACGGCTCTGGGCAGCAGCCCCTGCTCCTGCCGCAGTCCATCCAGCTGTCACAGGGGCAGAGCCTCTCTGTCGGGGCCCCCCGAAGAATGCTCCCACCCGGCTCCCAGCCTTCGGTCCTTAACACCAGCAGAGAGGTGAGGATGACTCCGTCTTGCTGTGGCCCTGGGGTGGGGTGGGGCTCCCGTCTCGGAGACCCTTTCTGGCCAATCAGGAACCACTATTGCGGGGGCGGGTGCCGGCGGTCTGGGACGCAGGCTCCGGGCCTCGCCAGACCGCCGGTGGCCCACTCATTGCCGAGTCCTCTCAGTCCCGTGGCAGGAAGCCCTGGTCACGTGTTACTAGCAACGTGAAGAGGCCTGGGTGAGCAGGGCAGGGAGGAAGGTGCCTGCGGCTGAGGTCTGGGGGCCGAAGTCCTTGCCAGCTCCCGGGGGCAGAGAGGGCCCGTTCACTGCGGCCAGTGCTCAGGGGTGGTGCACAGTCTGCCCTCCCCACCTGTGCCAAGGGAACAAACACACATGGTCGCTCCTGCCTCCAGCCTGCACTGGAAGGCCAGGCGTGCACGCTCCTTGACGAGATGCCTCTCTGTCCTGAAGCCCTCGTGGCCCCCACTGGCTCTGCCCAGGGTGGTTGGTGGCGGGGGCAGCTGTCCCCAGGGCGTTCCAGTGACAGCCCATCACTTCCCGGTGTCTTTAGTCCTCTCAGATGGAGATGAAGGGCTTCCACTTTGCCGACAGTAAACAGAATGTTTCTTCAGGAGGCTCCATGCCATCACCGCAGACCTACAGGTAAAGAGACGCCCTGGGGGTCGGATGCTCACAGCTGAGCCCTCGCTGTGGAATCGCGGGCCCAGGGAGAGCAGCGTGAGGGCACTGAGGCTGGGTCGCCTTTGTCAGCCTGTGTGTCACCGTGAAGTTCCAGTGCTGGGACACAGGAGACTCAGGAACTCTGGGGCACGGCTTTGCCTTTAATCATCATCATAAAACGCTCTGGTGTTGGGAGAACTTTCTGGAAAGGCTCCCGTTACAGTAGCGTCAGGACAGACCCTGCCTACTAACAGCTTTCTCACCAGATGTGTTCTTAAAGATTCACTGGCAGAGAGGGCACATACCCTGGAAGTGGGCGGGGGGGGTTCCTCTCCTGGGGCCACATGTCCCTTGAATGGCCTTGTGACTCCACCAGGGCTTGCTGCTGCTGGGCTCATAGGGCGAGAGCTGTACCTTCTTTGCCTTCTCGGGATCTGTCTCCGCCTCCAGTAACTGTCCCGGGTCCCTTGGCTGGATTCAGAGGGGGGCTTTGCATCAGTCACGATGTTGAGTTACAGTTGACCCTTGAACAACACAGGGGTTAGGGGCGCTGACCCTCCATGCAGTTGAAAATTCAAGTATAACTTTACGTTTAGCCCTTCGTGTCCGCAGTTCCGCATCCGAGGATTCAACCAACTGCAGATCGTGTAGTACGTGCTTACTGAAAACAATCCACGTGTAAGTGGACCCATGCAGTTCAAACCCGGGATGCTCAAGGGTCAGCAGGACTTAGCGTGTTAGAAAGTCAGGGAGCGTCTGCTTCTGATGGCTCTCTCACCCGCGGAGAAACGTGCGGCTGGGGAGGCAGCACACGGCGCTTGGCCCGAGGGTTGGCACAGTCGACTCTTGTTACGTGTGGGAGATTCCTGGAGATTCCTCCTGTCTGCACACAAGTAAAACAGGTGTGCGTGACCCGCAGTGCCCTGCGCGAGGCTGCCGGCGTGGCTGAGGGCAAGGTTGCCCGCACGGCCGCCCGCTCTGCCCCATCGCGCTCAGAGTGTTGAGGCCGAGTCCTGCTCCATGGTCACGTCAGTCCGCACTCCAGCTGCATTTCCCGAGAGAGGGCTTTTTGTGAATTTTCCCCCGTGCCGTTATCGTTCCTGCTCTTACTTTCACTCTCTCAGCTTGACTTGACTTTTGTTTTGCTTTCCAACCATATTTTTCACATAGGCCAAAATAACAGACCTGTAAGAAAAGTATACACGGACAGCAGCGCCAAACCATGAGTGTGATTTGGAAGGAAAAAGGAAGCTTCAAGCATAGAGAGAGGCTGTCGATCCCCTGCTGCCCCAGGCAGGTTTTAGCCTCCTCTGGATGCAGAGCCTTCCTCAGAGGCAAATCCGGAAAGGGACGCTCACATAACAAGAGTCGCCTGTGTCCATTCACTGTAGGAATGGCAGCAGCAGCTTTATTCTTTGGAGAATCTTTACAAAATATAAGCCTTAATTAGCAGCCTTTGTATTGTTGGTGTCTTAGTGGGGTTGGGGAAATTGGTATATTTTTACAGTGCAGTGTTGCCTAACTTTTCTGGAAACAGGGCTTCTGAGGCATGCCCTGTCAGAAAGGTGTTCCCTGGTTCGATACTTGGGGGGGGCGTGCATGCCCGAGAGGGCTTGTTGGGGAGTTGGGGTGCACCTCGGCATAGGGCTTGAGCAGCCTGTGGCCCCCGGGGGAAAGTCCTGTAGAACTTCACACACGTAACTACCTAACGATTTTGACCCCAGGATCTTTTTTCCACGTAGCGCCTGACTAACATCCCTGGGAGCTAGTTGTCTGGTCGGTGGAACACATTTAGAAAGATGTTCTACATTTTTGTTACTTTTGGTATCTCTCTTTACCACCCCTACCCTCCACCCCACAAGAGAAGACTGGAAAGATACTCAGCATAACTCACGTATCAGGTTTGTTTGTTTGTTCGTTCGGGTTTTTTTTTTTGGCTGCGCTGTGCGGCTTGCAGGATCTTAGTTCCCCGACCAGGGATCGAACCTAGGCCCCCGCAGTGGAAGTGCCAAGACCTAACCTCTGGACCGCTAGGAAATTCCCTTTTCTTTTTGAAGTCTAAACTCCTGTTGGAGTTTAAGTTCATTTTTGTTTCTTTTTTAATTTTTTTTTTTTTTTTTTTTTTGCTGTGCCACACGGCTTGTGGAATCTTAGTTTCCCTACCAGAGATTGAACCTGGGTCCACGGCAGTAAAAGCACCGAGTCGTAACCACTGGACCGCCAGGGAATGCCCTCATGTGTCAGGTTAATAGACCTTTTGTCTGGAGCATCATGTTGGTCTAGACCCTCCAAACCTGAGAGACGGTTGGTGTCCGTCTGTCGTCTTGACCGGTCAGTGTCTGCCCGTGGTGGGGACCTGGCCTCTGCCCCTCAGGTGTGTCCCCATGAGCTGGGTTGGAGGTGCCAGGGCCCAGTGGCGACACCCTCGCCCCCTGCGCTCTGGCTATCTGGGTCTGTTTCCTCTGTTGGAGGCTTGACTCCGTTTCTGTGGTGACGCGTGTGTTCTCATCCCCTCCTTTGGTTTTTTCAGGCCTAGCTCTGCTAGCCCCAGTGGGAAGCCCTCTGGATCAGCAGTTAACATGGGCTCTGTGCAGGGACACTACGTTCAACAGGTAGAAGATGGCTTTCCAGACCCTCCAGCCCCGGACGCTTAGGCCCGTCTCCAAGTGCCAAAAGAGGAGGGACTGTCCAGCCGTTTGCGTGCTCCTCTTAGAAAGAGAGACGAGCCCTGGCGCTTAGAGCGTGGCGTGGGAGCCGGGGAGCCCGAGTCCCCCCTGGAGAAGGCACTTCTCCTCTGGACGGGCGTCTGGGTCCTTCCTTGTCCACAGAGAAGGGAGGGTGCGGGTTCCTCTGAGGAGGTGGTGCCGGAAGGTGGACTCTCCCTCCGCAGCCACTGGGCTGTGAAGGCGCTGGGACCCGCTTAGGCCCGTGGGTCAGCTCTAGAAGCCGGGAGTGTGCGTGCGCGTGCGTGCCTGGCGTGTGTGCCTGCGCGTGCTGGCCTCGTAAGTGCTGTGTCTCGTCCTCGTCTTGGCCGGGTGGGATCCAGACGGAATGACGTTTCCCCGTTTTATAACGAGACGGGTCTCTCGGCGTCTTGGCCTTCAGCGTGGTTCTCTTCACTCCTCTCAAATGTGACCAGGCTCCAGAGCTCAGGCTCGTCAGGCGGGGGGTGTTAGTAAAACAGCGCTCCTGGATGGTGGAGCTGGAAGCTTGATTGTTCATTTCACGGCTCCTGACTTGGTTCCCCGAGGGTTGCTCTTTGAGTTGCTTGGACTGAGCTTCTAGAGCTTTCTTCAGAGCTCCCCCCACTGTATGAGGGGCCGAAGGCAGGCTGCTCACTGCGACACACCTCACTGCGCAGAGCTGCAGAGTGACGGGACCCTGACCGCGACTCGGGGGTCAAACTAGGGGCTTGGGGAGAGGTTTCCACACTGTGGGAGTCGGGGAGGGTGGAAGATCTGGGAGACCAAGTTGGGCGAGAGGCCCTGCGCCCCCTCAGCACAGTCGGGAGCTCTGAGGGGCAATGGGGTGCACTGATTTGAAAAAG